CAAATCTTGGAAATCAACTAGACCCTGCCTACAACTCCAGCTGAAGGTCACCTTTACATATAGCCTGATTCCAATTCAGAAGTTTATCATTTCCCATAGATCTCAATGGCAGCATTGACAGCCTGAATGCTGATTCTCGGACGTTGATCTATGTAACTATCTTAGTGTTAAAGGTACCTATTTAGTCTAGGTTGTTGGGGACGGACACCTAGTGCAGTGATTGGGGATGATCATCTGAGTCAGCCATCAGTAGGGGTGACGGAGGGAAGATCAAAGTGGGGATGAGACGTGAAGCTGGGCTATGATGAAAGTTTGGTTGTAGGTTGCTTTAAGACTCCATCCCAGGATAAGACTTTATCAATCTATTCATCTTATAATTAATTAAATATGTGTGTGTGTGTGTGTATACGGGTGGATTATTAAATGGTCTGGAAATCTGATGCAATTTAACATGAACTTTGATTTAGGAAAATTAACAATTTGAATATAATGGTGGAAAAATTGTTTATATAGCTGACAATTGATAATTCAGTAAGGATTGATTGGAAACATATTGATAATCTAAGGGACATGACAAGAGACAAATTAATTTCTTATAATTGTAAATTGGTAAAGAGTGAAAGAATTAATACTATCTAATCAAAGCATGATGGAGACAAGAAATCAGTCTCCTAAACAGCAGGCACAATGGAAGAGAAGACTTTCTTCATTTGAATAACCTAAGATGGTAGATACAAATCAAGCCGTGCTAGAAGAAATTAGGAAAATGATCAGACATGAGATATCTGATTTAAAGGCAGAAATTAGGAGAGAACTCAGATCTGAATTACAAGAAATTAACCAAACAGTAGAAAAATTAACAAGCGAAACTTTAGAAACAAAACAAAAAGTTGAAAAATTGGAAAAAAGGAATGTGATTGTAGACAAAGAACTAGCAAATATCAACAGATGGAAAGAGAAAGAATTATATGAGAAGGCATCCTGGGAGGCTAAGAGGAGAGACAAATGTATAAAAATTAGAGGAGTTATAGAGGAAAGGGAAGAGGATTTAGCATCGATTATTATACCCAATATGGCCAGATTTCTTGAGATTGATGATAACCAAATGTGCTTGGAGATAGATAACATGTCCCATTTGAACTCTTATGTGGCTAGAAAGAATAATCTTCCTCGGGACATTGTTGTGTATTTTGTCAGGAAGCAAGTCAGGGACCAGTTCCTAAGATTACATAATGAAGAACCTTTTGAAATAGAAGGTAAAGATGTACAAATTTTGAAAGATATCACCATGAGAAATTTGAGGAAAAGGAAAGACTACTTATTCTTAACATTACAACTTAGGAGAAATAAGATTCTGTATAGATGGAATCTACCAGAAGGATTGGTTTTCTGGTATAAAAAGAGAAGGGTGGGTATAAATTCTATAACAGATGCAAAGAAATTCCTGAACATAAATGGAAAGGATCTCTCCAGTGATGAGACTGATAATAGAAAAAATAAAGGCTCAGAAAGAAAGCAAGAAGAAGAGAGTGAGACCAATGATACAGAAGTAGAGATTAGAATAACACAGGAGACCAGAGAAAAGGAAAACTTAAATAAGATTAACACAAACAAGAGAAAAGGAGAAAGGACAATAATTATATCAGAAGGAACAGAAGAAAGTGTTATAGAAGGAAATAAAATAGATTAGATAATTGAATTTGTTGTTTAGCATGGAATAAAGATGTCTAAGTCTGTAAGGGTGTTAACTTGGAATGTTAAAGGGCTAAATACACCTGAAAAATGGAAGAAGGTATTTTATTTTCTACAAAGATCAAATCATGATATAATATGTCTGCAAGAGATACATATTAGAAAGAAAGATGAAAATTACCTAAAAAAATAAAAAGTAGGGTCAAGAATATGGTGCTATGGCAAAAACTAAAAAGAAAGGTGTTGTGATCTATTTTAAATCCTCTTAAGAATCCAACCTAATTAAAGCAGATTTAAATGGTAATTGGATAATGGTTGAACTAATTATTAATGATCATAATTTTTTATTGGTCGATGTTTATGGACCATTGGAGCAGGAAGGCAATTTTTATAATAAACTGAATGACTTATTACAAGATATGAATTATGAATCAATGATATTATGTGGTGATTGGAATGGGGTTATTAACCCAAACATAGATAGGAAATCAGAGAGACCAATAAAAAAAAACAAACCACAGGAATGTTTGCCCAAGTCTTTTTTTCAGATGATGAACAACCTAGCTTTGGCAGATGCTTGGTATATAAAACATGATATAGCAAAAGATTATACTTTTTACTCGCCAGTTCACAAATCCTGGGCAAGATTAGATATGTTTCTAGTCTCTGCGACATTAAAAAAATAGGATTTCTAAGATTCAATCTTTAGCAAAAATCTGGTCTGATCACAACCCCCTCTCAATG